TCTACTTACCAAACTTCCTACGTTCCCGATAGGCCCACAGCCATTTAAGTTATACACTGAAAAATACAAAAGAACTGCAGATGCTGGAAATCAGAAATAAAAACAGAAATTGCTGGAAAAACACAGGAGATGTGACATCATCTGTGGAGAGAAAACAATGTTAATGTTTTGGGTCCAGTGACCCTTCTTCAGAACTGATGGCAGCAAGGAAAAGGTTGGTATTTCTGCAGAAGATGGGATAGGAGAGGGGATAGGAGAAGATAAGAGGTGGAGATAGAGCCCAAAGAGAAAGAATTGCAGTTAGACAGACAGCGGAGTGGGTAAAGGTCAGCCTGGGAGAATGGATTTAAGCCATATAGAAAAGAGTCTCTACAGTATGGAAGCAGGCCATTCAGCCCATCGAGTCCACAGCGACCCTTGAAACGGCATCTCACCCAGACCCATTTCCCTACCATATTGCTGTAACCCTGCATTTCCCATGGCTAATCCACCTAGCCTGCACATCCCTGAACACTATGGGCAATTTAGCATGGACGATCTACCTAACCTACACATCTTTGGACTGTGGGAGAAAACTGGAGCACCCGGAGGAAACCCACGAAACACGGGGACAATGTGCAAATTCCACACAGGCGGTCACCCGAGGCTAGTATCGAACCCAGGTCCCTGGCACTGTGAAGCCCAGCCCTGTGCAGTGACTCTTCTGGAGCAGGTGGGGTTTGAACCCAGGTCTCCTGGTCTAGAGGTAGGGACACCACAAAAGCTTTTCACAACCATTTAACAGTTAGAAAGGGATTAATTGGCTAAGAGCATTGCCACTGCCAGGCAATTCCATTAGCCAACTAGCACTCTACATAGTCTGAACAGCACCAGGTTAGAGTGGTGGCCATTGTCAGGATTACGGTTGACCCCAAAGAAGACCAGAGGTCAGGTATCTACTGAGATTCGCTGACAGGCCACAGTGAGATGGCTGAGGAGAGTGTAGACCTGATTTGAGAGGGAAAGTTAAATTGTGGAAGGGTTTCCTCCACAGGTCACAAAGGACCCACAAAGGTCATCCCCTTTCCTTATCTAGCATCAGCTTACCAGCTATGCTACACGCCTGGCATAGGGTTTCATTAATTAGCCACTTAAGAGTTATAACAGGCCCAAGAACGTTGGGGGGGGGGGCGGGGGGGGGGGCGGGGGGAGTGGATCTCAATCATGGCATGTTACTGGCCTAGAACTGGTCTCAGTGTCTCTGATATTTACTGAGAGTTGGCAGAGGTTTGAGTGATTGGGTAAGGGTATGGTAGAGTTGGGGGAAAGAGTTCAGGTTCCTGAACAGAGTTTGTGACTTTTCTTCTACATACTCCCTATTGGAAAGCTCATCAGGTTGACGAGCTGGCCTCACTTTCAGAAGAGGAACAGAGGTGCTGCCTGAGGACCACATTGTTTTACTGCTGCTCAGAAGACAGAAAGAGATCGTGAGGGATAGGGTGTGTACAGAGTGGCTTGTAGGTTCAGGAGGTGGCCTAGGGAATGGTTTGTGGTAAAGGCTGACGATGGCAGTTGCAGAGATGCTTGCAGGTTGATATAGATTCAATAATACCATGAATGACCTTGAAGGAGCTCTGCCCCTCTCTCCGTCAGGATTACCATTCTAAACATTTTTCTTGTTCACCTCCCAGGCTGAACTTTATTCATCCCTTTATCTGCCCAATCACTGTTCACTCTCTCTCTGTGTTCCATTTCCACCTCTTATTTACTTCCTCCCCAACCCCATCTTCAGCATATATACCAACCATTTCCCTGCTACAATGCGTTCTGGGGAAGGGTCACTGGGCCCGAAACGTTAGCCATGCTTTCTTTCCACAGGTGCTGCCAGACCTGCTGAGTTTTTCCAGCTATTTCTGTTTGTGTTTCTGATGTCCAGCATCCACAGTTCTTTGTTTCTCGTTTGCAGTGATATCTGATCTTGGAGGACGGTGTGTACATTGCTTGATCACCACAGGGGAGTTGGATCACTGGTTGCAAAGAAGATTAGTTTGTGGGGCTAGTGGGCTGATGGGGAGGGGGGTTCTTGCTCCAGGCCACAAGCAGGGCTGTGACAACACATCATTCTTGACCCCATTTAGCTGCTGGGTTGAATTTAAAACAAAAATAAAACCAGAGGCAAACAACTTGATTACTCTATTTAAAGAACCTTCATGTTGCCCACACAAGCCCCATTCCATCTCTGCCAAAGTTAGGATGGGCACATTTGAAGTGGGTTGGGCTCAGGTTTGGGATTTTCAAATCTTTAGATCCCACTTGATTCAAAGTTCTGCTGCGTGTCTGCAAGTTTAAGAACCAAAATCAACTAACGATTCCTGATCATTATGTAGTAATCTTTACTAGAAGCGTATCTGTCTGAATGACATAAGATCTCACAACTGAGCAACCACAAATTTGAAAAACCAGTCAGGATTCCTTGCTAATCAGGTCTCAAGCTTGATTCAATCAAGAATGATTAATCCTTGTGAGTCAGCAGCTGTCAACAAAAGACAAAAACGAATAGCAGTGGAAACCTAAAAATATCTACGGAAGGGCGAGGCACTGGTTTAGCTCCTCACCAAAAGTTTTATGATGCTCACAAAAAATACAAATGTTGCTTTCAGGCACAGGAAGGCAGCCCAGAAGACATCACACTGGCAGTGCTGTCACAGGAATTATGGAATCCCTACAGTGTGGAAACAGGCTATTCAGCCCATCGAGTCCACACCAACCCTCCAGAGAGCATCCCACACAGATCCAAACCCCTGCTCTATCCCTGTAACCCCATATTTCCCATGGCTAACCCACCTAGCCTGCGCACTATCGATAATTTAGCACGGCCAATCCACCTAACCTGCACATCTCTGGACTGTGGGAGGAAACCTATGCACATGTGGGGAGAGGAGATTGTGCAAACTCCAAAAAAGACAGTCACCTGAGGGTGGAATCGAATCCAGGTCCCTGGCGCTGGAAGACAACGATGCTAACCACTGAGCCACCATTCCACCACAAGAAAAGAAAGAGAAAACGGAGGAAAGTCAAGGATTCTTTATCGGTTCCAGATGAGAACCACTACTCACAAGAAGGCCTCCTAAAATACTTATTACTGCATTTTTCCAGCTGAGCTTCTGATCCACAGCAGATTTTCCAGGCATGGTTGGACACACACATGACTCATGACTCATGAAAATAACATCAGGATCCACATGACATTCTCATCCCCTGGCGTATGAATATTTCTGAGGCCAATGCTGGCATGCAGTGCAGGGACATAAACAGTGGGGTGGTAGCAGATCAAGCTGAAGCTGGAGACCAGGCACTATCCCAACGTAACCCCCTCATAAGTCTAATCCTTACCAGACAGTGTGGAGTGTGTATGAATCATAGAATCCCCACAGTGTGGCCATTCAGCCCAATAAGTCCACACCACCCCTCCAAAGAGCATCCCACCCAGACCCATCCCCATAACCCTATATTTCCCATGGCTAATCATATACACCCCTGAACACTACAGATAATTTAGCATGGCCAATCCACCTAACTTGCACATCTTTGGGAGGACTGTGGGAGGAAACCAGCACACCCAGCAGAAACCCACACAGACATGGGGAGAATGTGCAAACTCCACACAGACAGTCACCCGAGGGTGGAATTGAACCCTGGCCCATGGCGCTGTGAGGCAGCAGTGCTAACCACTGAGCCACTGTGGTGAAGGTGATAAAATCAAAACTGTTCTGACTTTGTGTTAAGATGCTGCATGAGAGTTGTAGAACATCGGATGCTGACACAATTGATTTTAAAAAATGAAGAAGGAGAATATCATTTTTAATTTATTAATTTGACAGATTATGAAGACGGCAACACACAAGTTTCCATCAACAGCACCTTCTAAGCCACCTGGAAAGACGTGGGGAGCAGATACCTGGGAAGACATTTACACACTAAACCTGACTTGGAATAATATCATCATTCCTTCACTGTTGCTAGGTCAAAGTCCTGGCACTCCCTTCCTAAGAGCACTGTGGGTATTCCTCCATCTCAAGGACTGCAACAGTTCAGTAAGGTAGTTTATAATTGTTATCAGGAGTGGAGTCTGGTTGGGAGGCGTCTGACCAAATGGAATTAGGGAACAGGCAATGGTTTTATGTTAGAGATAGTAGGTACTGCAGATGCTGGAAAATCTGAGATAACAAGGTGTAGAGCTGGATGAACACAGCAGGCCAAGCAGCATCATATGAGCAGGAAGGCTGACGTTTCGGGCCTAGACCCTTCATCAGAAATGGTGGAGGGGAAGGGGGCTCTGAAATAAATAGGGAGAGAGGGGGAGGCAGATAGAAGATGGATAGGTGGAGAGGAAACAGACAGGTCAAAGAGGCGGGGATGGAGCCAGTAAAGGTGAGTGTAGGTGGGGAGGTAGGGAGGAGATAGGTCAGTCCAGGGAGGACGGACAGGTCAAGGGGGCGGGATGAG